AGAAAGAAAGACTATGCTTTAAAAAAAAATTACCAGTACAAATAAATGTGCCTACATTAGAAGTGTCATGTACTAAATATTAAAATAAAAAAGCATAAGAGTTAATGGGGTCCTGGGTATGTTAAAAAAAAGAAAGAAATACACAGCCTTTCACTATTGGGTCACTTTCAAATCTAACCTATGAGTTACTATCTGAGAGCCATCTAGAATTCAGATCAAATAAATATGTGGTCATGAAGTATTTCCTAGCTGAGTGGAGTCCAAAACACAAAACCCAGAGTCAGTGTTATTAACTGCTGCCTTATCACAGGCAGCAAAGAATGGACATGGAAAATGAATGTGCTCACAGCCCTTTGGGTTTCCTACAGGCACATTAGTGGGAGGGTAGAAATACCTTTGCTGCCTGCGTTACATCTGTCTTCTTTAAGGCCAACAACAGTGAAGCACTGATTATAATGGCTTCAATTTTGTGGTGCCCAATATCAGACACCTTTGGCCTGATTTTCAGAAATATATAACAGTGGTTTTCAACCATGGGTACTTGTACCTTTTGGGGTTCACAGAGGTCTTCTGGGAGTACATCAACTTATCTAGCTGTTTGCCGACAGGATACATAAAAAGCCCTGGTGAAGTCAGTACAAACTAAAATATCATATAGACAATTACTTGTTTATACTGCTCTATATACTATACACTGAAATATAAGTACAATATTTATATTCTAGTTGACTTCTTTTGTAATTATATGGTAAAAATGTGAAAGTAAGCAATTTTTCAGTAACCTCTGGTTTACACTGTGGAATAAGTTCAAATTAAGATATGTAACTTCAGCTACGTTAATTGCATAGCTGAAGACAAAGTATCTTAACTCGAATTTTGGCGCTTTCCACACTGTGGGAGTCAAAGGGAGTGCACTTTCCCTTTAGCTTCCCTTACTCCTCATAGAAGCAGAACTACTGGCATCAACGGGCGTGCCCTCTCAATTCAAATTAGCCTGCCTTCACCAGTCCTGCTAATTCGAACCCCGAAGATCGACTGTGACTCCTTCAATCTTATCTGTAGTGTAGACATGGCCTAATAGTGTGCTATGACAATTGTTTATAGTTTTACATTTGATTTTGTAATCAAGTGGTTTTTAAGTGAGGTGGAACTTGGGGTATACAAGACAAATAAAATATCTAAAGGGGTGCAGTCATCTGGAAAGGTTGAGAGCCACTGGTATAGAGCACTGACTTCAGTTGGAGATGGTATCAATATCTCTGAAAACAGACACGTCTGAAGTTGGGCAACCTCAAATTGAGATTCTGCAAATTATTGTCTGCTTTTGAACATTTTTGACCTAAATAAATAGATCTTCAGTCTGTGGTGCTAATAGTCAGTCTGGCAGCTTTCACAGTCATTCATGTTCACTTTATAATGTTTCTAAAAAGAAAATAATTGGATTTTGTAAATTTAATTAATGCTGTTTATGGGTTTCTTTTTTAAGAAGGGCCCAATTCTGCTCTCATCTACAACTTTGAACCCTCATACTATTTCAGTGGTGTAAATGAAGAAAAGATTTTGATTCAATGTAATAATATTATATAGAAATTGTAGCACTATATATAAATAGAAATAGTCAAGCTACAGAGCACTGCCAGGAACTTTACTGAATATTTTTAGACTTGACAGAATTTGATCTTTATTTTTATTATTTCAATGGATGACAATGTTTACTTAATAATTTTAAAAATAAAATTTGACAGAGGGGAGAAGAGGGAGGTATTACTGAACAACTTGCTAGAAGTGTTGTAAAGGAGGAAGGGTTGATCCCTGATCATTGAAGAGGAGGTTCAGTGTTGTAAAGGAGGAAGGGTTGATCCCTGGTCATTCAAGTGGAGGTTCCTGATACCTACCATTGTGAGAGATTAAACCAAAATCTGCCAGTTGAATACTGGCAACTGACAACATAATCATTTACTCTTATTTACTAGATGAGGGTTATAATTTCATTCATATCAGCATACATTGAACATGGAAGTTAATGGAGATACTTCTATGTACGTGGTATAAATGAGATCAGTCAGATCCTAAACTTGCAGAAATCTTTGTAGATCAAATTCTGTTGCCCACAATCCAACAAAATACCTATTCACTTAAATGGGAAATTTGCTATGTGAAAGACAACAACATTTTGTCAAGTATAAGTAACTTGTATAAAAAACTATTGAGAACATTATCAAATAACTTCATACTTGTTAAGTGTGTGACCATATTTCCCAAAAAGAAAATGGGATATTGTGTGGTGTCTAGCTCCCCTCCATGGGGCTGACCTAAGCTGCACACCTGAGCCCTGCCTCCCCCCTGCGCAAAGCTGGAGTTGGCATCGCTGCTCAAGTCAAGCCATGTCTGCCCCTTGCCTGAGCCCTGCCGCTTCCTTCCCTTATCCCATGCAAGGCTGGCATCACCACTCACCCTCCTCCACACCCCACTTTGAAGTAAGTGGGCATTTGTCCTGTTTGCCCTAATCAAGCTGGGCAAGAGGAAATGGAACAAATGCCTACTTTTGCCAGAAAAGTTGGGATGACCAGGACAGGGTTTAAAAAGTGGACTGTCCTGGTCAAAACAGGACATATGATCACCCTAGTATTAAGAAATTAATTTCCACTCTTGTTAATTACTACAGAATCCTTCTGCTCTGCATACACTGAGTCCAAAATGGGAATATAAACAGGAAGTTTAGATGTAGATTTAATGCTAATCTGTCTGACTACGTAGACAGTCAGACAGATTAGCATTACTATAGACTGTGAGACATTTTGTAGAAAATGATATAAGATATCATGTGCTGGTGATTGCTGAAGAAGCTGAGCAAAACCTATAAGCAGATTTATGTAAGCAGCAGAGGGCAACAGTGAATTATCACTGAACTTGTGTGATATCGTTTGGGACTCTATGTAAAGATATGGGCTGCGTCTAGACTGGCAATATTTTGCACAAAAGCAGATGCTTTTGCGCAAAATCTTGCTGCCTGTCTACACTGGCCATGAGTATTTGCTCAAGAATACTGACTTTGTACTTACAAAATCAGTGGTTCTTGCGCAAATACTCCAACGCTTCCACTCAGGGATAAGCCTGCTTGCTCAAGTATTCTTGTGCAAGAGGGCCAGTGTAGACAGCCAAGTTAATTTCTTGCGCAAGAAAGCCCGATAGCTAAAATGGCCATCGGAACTTTCTTGTGCAAGGGAGCATCTACACTGGGCACGGATGCTTTTGCGCAAAAGCAAATCTTTTGCGCAAAGGCACATGCCAGTATAGACGCTCTCTTGCGCAAATACTTTTAACAGAAAAACTTTTCCGTTAAAAGTATTTGCGTAAAATCATGCCAGTCTAGATGCAGCCATGGAGTCAAGAAGCATTAGAGATTGCGTGATTGTGCTTTCTTCCTGAACAGCTTGCTCAACATTTCATTGCTTTGTTTTATTTAATTCAATGTAATAATATTTTACATTATAATTGTAAAATAATTTAACCTTCCATGACAAAAATATCCTATTGTCTTAGTCAGTAGAAGCCACAACAATAAAAAAAATGCCAGAATGTTCATTACGTTATCATCTTAAATGTCCATTTAATAATTAGAATACCAAGTAGAATTTTGCACCAATTAAATGTACTGGCTCTAAAATGTTATATGTTAAATAATAGAATATTTCCAAATTCACACATCTGTAGCTTTATTTGACTTCTGGTTCCTTTCCAGCCTTATAGCTTCACATGGGGTAACACACAGGTTCAGGGATTTTCAGAGGGTTGTTCAAGACACAGTATTTGTTTAAGACTCAGAATTATAGAAAAGTGCATCTTTGCATTGAAAATAGTAAACATGTAAATCCATAGCTCCAGTTCTCAGCAGCCTTGCCCAGGTTAAGTAGAACTGGACCAGACCTTTTTGTCTGTGAAAGCAGTGACTGAAGACAGTTTTTGAATGGCTGATGTGTGCAAGTGTGGAGGACAAAATAGGACACATACTTTTGAAAATCCGAGCTAATATGTGCAGCCTTTTCCTGAGTATGTAAATACATGCTACTTTCCATTGTTAACAGTAATACAAGCACTGCAAAAAATAACTCCGTTCTGCTGTTGATGTCAGAAGCACTAAAACAGTCTCTGAAAAGTGACCTCTGATACCCACTAAAAATGGTTCCTGAACATGTATAGAAAGGAGGATCTAATGAAATAGTTTAATCTATTAAATTAAATACTGAACAAATGATTCATTATTAATTTGAATAGGAAAATGTTCACTTTGAACCTTAAAATTATAGTTTACTTTTTTTCTTGATTTAAATGGAGTTTTTTGGTCTAATGATCCAAAATCATCCTCAACAGAAAGAGTTAACACTGAGATTTTAAAATATATTTTAAATGCACATAAAAGAAAAAAGTGTTACTGTTCAATAATATATTGTCCCTCATCCCATTTAAATAAATACTTCAGAGTTGCATATCAACATGCATATGTTGACATATTTTCAGAGAATTGTTGTCAAAAGCATGTAACCAGACACCAGCTCTCCTCAGGGCTTCTTTTTGACAGTCAGTGTTATCTGTGGAGACAGGATAATGGCAGGATTAGGCCATGAATCATTTGGAGGAATCCACATGCTATTAGAAAAGTGTATATTAGCCATGTTTTTAGTAAGCCGCTATTTTGTGAAGTACAACAGTGGTCTTTTTAAAAAATAAATTCATTGGACACATTTCAACTGTGAGTGAATCTTTATGCTAAAATTGCCTTTGTTTTAATTTGTGCTTGTGCTTTCTAGGGATACATCTAGACTGCGGTGCTATTTCGGCATACTGGAGGTATCCCGAAATAGCTATTCCACGTCTTTTGAACCAGCCTGTTATTTCAAAATAGATTTCGAAATACCAGGCTTGCTATTCCGACATCCCTGTAACTCTCATTCCACGAGTGTTTCAGAATAGCAGCTTATTTCAAAATTAGATCAAAATAAGATACACAATTTGCATAGCTCAAATTGCATATCTTATTTCGACCTACCGGTGCAGTGTAGATGCACCCTAGGTGTAATTCGCATTCCCTCCACCAAAGTCTAAATGAATGGGCTTTTGCACAGGGGACCAGTGCAGGAGTAGACAGAAGATGGAATTTATCCTTGCGACAGGCTCACCCTGCTAAATGCTGAGCACGCTTGCCCCCATCAAGCCAAGCAATTAAGCACATGCCTAGAATTAGGCACTTGAGTATTAACATGAGAAATTGATGAGGTTACTTGCATACTTAAAATCAAGCACGTGCTTAAGTGTTTGTCTGAATCACCTCTAGAGTGTTCAGTATCTCACAGGATGAAGCCCCAAGCCAGCGCACTCAGCTTGTGGCCACCGAGGAACTGTCCTAGCCACTGAAGTCCATTGTGCCTCAGAAGGTTTAGGACTGGTCAATCCATGAAATCGATGGATTTTCTAGCCATGCTAATCCTCTACCCTGCAGACAGCTTCCCCCAATACTCCCATGGAGTGAACCATTGTAGAGTTGGCTCAAGGACAAGAAGGCGGTTCCATAAGCTCTGTCTACAGATTTTCAATGTAGAGGGAAATTTTGGACCCATCAAGCCTTTTGCAACCAAGAGCATTTCTCCCTTAGCCTAGAGAGCATGGAGAAATACAATAAGTTAATCAAATATACTATTCACACAATAATGAGGCTTTACAGCATTTTGCTCTTCCTCGGGTGGGTTTTTACTGTAATTGATTCAACAGACATTTGTAAAGCAGCCCATTAGCAGACTTCACAGTGACTTTGAAATGCATTGCAAGTTTAAAGCCAAAAGTGAGGGAAGTTGGATGCTACAGACAGAGGTGTAAATAAAGAACATGGATATGCCCCAATATATTTGCTAATCCCGATTTTGCTCTTATTTTCCCATATTTCTCAATTACTGCATGTTTTGAATTCAGTCAGTCTCTACGCCTGTTAGCTGAGGAGCAATATTCTTAGCACTACATTAATAACCCAGCTATGGATCCACAAGCAAAAAAGAAGACATGGGGGACTCATATTTGTGCTGGGGTATTGGCCAGCGGCATAATCTACTGTGAAATAACATGCATGCCCCTTGAATTCATCACAGCTACACAAAGCCATTTATTGTATAACACATACTCAAATCTTGGGCTATATTACAACATCAGTTTAACTGTTTAAGCATAGTTTGCTCTTAAAATCAATGGGGAGTCCATCTCAGAAACTGGTGGCATAGTATGAGCCCTTTATTAGGATGGTGAAATATAGCTTTCAAAATGTAGTCAATTAAAATCTGGAAAAATACTCAAGTCACCATTCTGAAATGCTGAAAATATGAGTATGAGCTACAGAGCATGGACGATAGTGGGAAACCAATTCAGAATCTGATCAGGCCCTTCTTACTCCTTGAAGTAAAGCATATGGTCACTTTGAGCAATTTCTATATAAATTAACATACATTTTGCATGCTAGTTTTCTGTATAATTTAAGACTACACTACAAGATAGGAGAAACGTGTGTACACAGTCTATCGTTTATAAATGTGCCATCTGATAAAAAAGGTAATTAAAATTATACTTTTTTTTTGTTTTTGTTTTTAAACAATGTATTCTTGCAAATTCATCTGATAAAAAAGGTAATTAAAATTATACATGTTTTTTTGTTTTTGTTTTTAAGCAATGTATTCTTGCAAATGTATTAATCTTTGCTTTATAAAGTATTTCAGAATTTTTAAAAGTGTGCCAGGATGAATGTCTGAAACCAAATTGTTTAAAGGTAAACCTGTATAGAGGAAATGGACTGTTGCTTCAATAAATCAATGTTTATTGTTAGTAAATTTCATTTTTCTGGACTTCTTAGAGTTGTAGAATGGATACATACTTTTAGAACATTAAAAGAATTAATCTGTAAATTCTTAATGAATAAAAAATTTAGCTCAACTTCAGTACAAGGGGCACCTTAAAAATGGGTTTCTTAAGGAAAAATGCTCCCAAATACAGTATCTGAAAGCCTAAAAATAAGCAGTGCTCATCACCACTAATTAAGTGCACAATATATTGGAAAATAAAGTTTGCTCAGAGGGCATTTTTTTCTAAACTAGTGTTTATTGGTTCATATCATGTAAGTCACTTTCCCCTAGTGAAATCAGTAGGGAGTTCTGCTTAACAATCATCAAGAAAATTTGGCTGTTACACTGTTATAGTACATACGATAAACCTAATTCTATTCACTTTACCCACACAAAAAGTTTCTATGACATCGGCTTCATAGAATTATAGTCTGAGTAAGGATAGCAGCAATGTATTTCACTATTAATTATTTGTATTACAATAGCACTTAGCGACCTCAGATGCGATTGAGGCTCCACTGTGCTAAGCACTGGGTGCAAATACAGTGTGCGACAGCCCGTATTCCAAAAAACTTACAATCTTAATAGAAAACTCAGACATGTAGGCTGTGTCTCCACTGGGCCACTTATTCTGGAAAATCAGCCGCTTTTCCGGAATAAGCTGCGAGCTGTCTACACTGGCCCTGGAATTTCTGGAAAAGCAACGACGTTGAACTGTACAAAATCAGCCGCTATTCTGGAAAAACTATTCTGCTCCCGCTCAGGCATAAGTCCTTATTCCGGAACACTGTTCCGGAAAAGGGCCAGTGTAGACAGCCCAGTAGTCTTTTCCAGAAAAAAGCCCCAATCGCGGAAATGACTATCGGGGCTCTTTTCCGGAAAAGCGCATCTACATTGGCCACGGACGCTTTTCCGGAAAAAGGGCTTTTCCGGAAAAGCAGCCTGCCAGCGTAGATGCTCTTTTTCCGGAAATACTTATAACGAAAACTATTCTGTTTTAAGCATTTCCGGAAATTCATGCCAGTGTAGACACAGCCTATGGGAAGAAAGTGGACAGTCCTTGGTGGAGAAAGAACAGGTTAAGACAGTGGTCCCCAACCATTTGGGGTTGCCGGGCGCCAGGGGGCGTGGCCGTTTGCCCCCATAGCCGCATTCCCGGGGCCGGCGCTGGCGCTCTCTCCCCCCCTCCCCTAAGCGCCGCGCGCCCAGGGCCGGCGCTGGCGCTCTCTTCCCCCCCATGCGCCACGGGGGTTCAATTCGCGGCGCCCTCGGGGCTGGCACTCACCGTGCGCCACCCACCCGGGGCCGGCTCCCGCCCCG